GATTTATTCTAGTACTATTTTATAGGGGAGAATAACACTCCTGTAATTAGACGTTAATAAATAATAACTCCACAAATGATCCCATAGATATCAATATCGTGGCATCAAGTACAGTGACTTTGTAACGCACTAGAATCAGGATGTTAAATAATAATCATGGGGATCATAGTTTACAGGTTAGATTATGAGTTAACTCCATATCACATTTTTTTCTTAAAATGTAGAGATTTATTGTTAGGTTTCCGAGCCAGCAACCCCTCACTATATTATCTAGATTGTGCCATCACTATCCACGGTGATTTTTATGTTAATTGAAACATGTTTAGGCCCCTGCTATAAGTATGCTAGCTTTGGTAGTTTCAGTGCATTCCCATTAGTTTTAATATTAGTCAAATAAGTGATTTTATGACTAATTTTCCTTTAAATAAATCGTTAACATTTTTTAAAATTAAGATTAGTAAGATGAATTGAATAAACTACCTCCTGGATACTGAGTGATTCAATAGGGACCTTTAAGAGTTTTGAGTCATTTTTCAATGGTTATAGATAAACCATTGAAACTTTTATCATGACTAGTAAGTTCTAGGTTCTAAGGATTAGTTGAGGACACGAAGGCTAAACTCCGACCCCTCAATTAAAAAAAAAAAAAAAAAAAGGATAAATAGTTCCTATTTAAAGTATGGACTTTGTTTGGTTGATCATGACTTGCTCATGTGAGTTTTCCATTGGCTACATTTCTAGTTGCATCCACTTTTTAATATTGTATCTAATTTCTCCCCCATTTTCTGGACATTGATTCAAAAATCGACTTTAATTATAATAAAGTGGGGACATATTGAGTCAAACACTTCATTCCGGGTTTCCATTACCAAGTTGTTTGAATAAGTGATGAGATCATTCACTGGTTTTCCACTATAATTATTATTCAAAGAAATGGATTCACATTCCAATTTCCTATTACACAAAATCAAACTCTTTCTTCCCTCTCTTTTCGCTCTCTCTCCTAACTTAACTTTAATTTAATTTCTTTGTCATAAGCAATAATTCAGTTTCATACCAACGACTTAGCAAATGATTTTTTTTTTTTTTCCTTTTTCATTGTTTGTCCTTCTTCATCAAGACGTTGGAAGAGGGTTCCCTCTCAAATGATTTTGAATAGCTGCAGATGCAGCCCTTGGCTTGAAGAGTGGCACCTCATGACCTGCTCTCTCACCGTTGCAAATGTTAGCCCTTCCGAAACGTCCTGTCCATTCTCCCCCTTATCAACCAAAAAATAAAGAAAAATAAAACGACCCTTTCACATACATTAAAACATTTTTTTGTTATTTATATAGATCATCAAATTTGTCTTTAAATACACCTTAGATTTTTTAGGTGAAGTTAACTATGTCAAATATTGAGACCCGTTATATTTGAGAATTACAAAAGTCTAGGGGCTTCATGGTTTTTGAACCCTTGCCTTCAAACAATTTATAGTCATTTCTTGAAATATTCTCTAAAGGCCTAGAACCAGGTAACCTTCCATATAGTTATGACCAATTAATTAATCAAATAGGATTAAGGCATAATTAGCTACTGACCTGCTTTCTTAACATACCAAGGATACCTGGAATTTTGGTTGTTAATTTCAGTTGTGCCAGAGATACCTTGTTGCCGTACTGGCCCAACTGGAGTCCACATCTCCACTGCAAATTCGAAGAGAAATGGTTAATTACTACCTAGATATATGGAGAAACTAAATGAATTTTATAGTAAATACATAATGCCACCTGAAAACCCAACCTCTCAATCCACCAGCTATCATTTGTCTATACATTGGAAGACTGATACTCTGTGTCATCAAATACACGAAATTTTATTTAAAAAGTGATAAATACATAAGGACCCTTTCCTTGATTTCAGCTCTCTGTCAGTTTTTAATATGTATTTCCGATCACTGCAAGGCAGGTCCCCCTTATAAGGAATGTTGGTTATGTTAGCATGGAGGGCTTTTTTACAACATCAGGCCTGTTGGTAATAAAGCTCGGCATCTTTTCTGTACAATGATCCTAGCCTGATATCTGCCTCGAAAATCTGAGCTTGATTTGAGAGCATAACTCAATTAAAAAGCATGGAGAGCTTGATCTAAGAGCATAGCTCGATCAAAAAGCGTGGAGAGCTTGATTTGAGAGCATAACTCGATCAAAAAGCATGAAGAGGTTGATCTGAGAGCATAGCTCGATCAAAAAGCATGAAGAGGTTGATTTGAGAGCATAGCTCGATCAAAAAGAGTGGAGAACTTGATCTGAGAGCATTGCTCGATCATAAAGCATGGAAAGCTTGATCTAAGAGCATAGGTCGATCAGAAAACGTGGAAAGCTTGATCTGAGAACATAGCTCGATCAGAAAGCATGAAGAACTTGTTCTAAGAGCATAGCTCAATCAAAAAACATGAAGAGCTAGATCGGAGAGCATTGCTCAATCAGAAAACATGGAGAGCTCGAGAGCTAGCTTGAGAGCTTGATAACTTGGGAGCTCGAGAGCTAGCTTGAGAGCCCGATAGCTTGGGAGCTTGAGAGCTTGAGAGTTAGAAAGCTAGCTTGAGAGCTCGATAGCTTGGGAGGTAGAAAGCTTGGGAGCTAGAGAGCTTGATAGCTTATGAGCCAGAGAGAGCTATTGAGCTCTCGAGCTCGATAGCTTGCGTGAGAGCTTGATAGCTTGGGAACTTGAAAGCTCTTTCTAATCTGAGAGATCTAAGCGCACAATTTGAGCGATTTGGCCACATGATCTGAAGCTAAAGATCAGAGTAATCTAAGCACGTGATCTGAGGGATCTGACCACGCGATCTGAGAGCTCTGATTTGGAACATGCTTCAATATTTTGATGATAACTTGAGCTGAAAACTTCGGATTTGGATGATTCTTGGACCATCGGAAAGCTAACTTGAAGGGTACAATTCTTGTGTTTACTACATAGCCAGATTCAGAATTTATCCTACTCAGATTTTCACATTTGATGACGTGATTCTAGATTAAGAAGTTGGGATTTGTTGAAGAAATTGAGACTTGAGGAAAAAACATGGAGAGCTGCTGTGAATCAAGCCCTCCTTCTAGCGCCAAAATATTGATACAGAAATATGCACCAACTAGAGAATTATGATTGACCCTGCCGGAACCGGAATGGATGTGCGCGTTATTTAATGAAAATCAGCAACGAACAAAAAAGAAAGAATCATAAATAAGAACACAAGACAATTTTTAAAGTGGTTCGGCAAGTTAGAACTTGAGCCTACGTCCACTGTTATCTTCTTGCTTTTGAGAGCTTATAAAGAACAGTATAATTCCTAGGAAAATTTGCTTAGAACAATTCCCCATCCCCTTTGAAAACAAGTTATGATGGGTTTATATAGCACCGATTTACATGATAGAGTTGAGATAAGATTCAAATACGTAGAATTATGAAGTTTCATAATCTTCCGCTACCTTAGTTTGAGTCTAAGTCAATATGTATATCTTTCTTCCAAATTGAATCAATCTAAATATCTTCTCTCCTAGTAGGGAATTATTCTCTCCGAATTGACCACACAACAATCGTATTAAATGGCTTAACTAAGCTCGAGAATAAAACTTATAATAAAACTAGATTTTTTATTTGTTTTGAAGTAATTAATGAGAAGAGTTAGAGAAGGAAGAGAAGAAAGAAATTATGCTTAACAGATTTATTGTCCCAAAATCTTATAACAGATCTTATCTACCAATGTAAAAACATCCACCCAGATAGATATTCATGGAGCAAGTTGAAGGGTTGAACCTAAAGGACGACACCGGCAATGGAAATTAAATAGAGACGTATGAAGATTGAGAGTTTAATTCTTCGTACACTTTTCCAAAAAGGGTCTTGAAAATCCAACTTGGATTTAACCTTCTTCAATCATTATGGTCTTATTCATGTGGATCCCAGTTTCAAAACCCTAGATTTTCAAAGTTTACCCTAGATTTTCAAAGCTTACTTTTGAAATTGGGTTTTATGATATAGCTATCATATCAAATACACATAAATCCTACCACCAATGTTAGGGCAACGAGAATAATGTAGCCAAAAATTTGTTGGTTTTCAGTCTATGAATTTGGAAATTGTTTCCAACCAAAATGAGTAAAATATAAAGATGGGGCTCTTTTGTTTTGATCCGGAATTTATGAGCTTTACTTTACTACTAAACTAGTAGATAACTTCGCCAGCAAAACACGCAAAACAATGCAATTCCTAATCCTTGAAAGCAACAAAAGTAAACGGTAATCTCATAGATCCATTTTGCATAATAAAGTAGAATATCTATATTGAAAGTTAACTCAAGCGTTCTAATGTGCAAAAACAAAGAACACAGAGGTTTTATTTTATGTTTTTTTTTTTTTTTTTTTTTGGGGTAAAAAATCCAAGCTAGGCAAGCAGAAAATGATATATGCTAAAAAGAAAACAAGAAAGTTCAACATACAACTAAGTGATGAGAGGACACGACATATATAACAAAATAGAAAGTGATTTTTCAATGATTTGTCAATATTCAAAATGGGCTGCAGAAAAATTATTATATTTTCTATATATCTTTTGAATGCTTAGTCTTGAAAGACCTTCTTACTTTTTCTCTGCAGAAGCATAAAAAAGTTATGGTATTAATGAAAAATATATGTATAAATTAACACAAGAAAGCCTAAACTGTAGCACTACGCGTAGCACAAGTTGTTTCTGAAAGGAAGTGGGGTTATTAATCATACAGGCATTGGAAGCTGGGTTCTTCTGTTTTAACTATTAACCGATGCTTCTTCAAAGACTTCCTCGTCCTTATTCTACTCATTTCACAGACACAGAGAGAGAGAGAGAGAGAGAGAGAGAGGCACCGTACTTGTTGTTTTTCAGGGAGAAAGAGATGGGAGAGAGACTATTAGGGTTTTGTAACCCCTCTTTTTCTTCTTTCTAAGGTCTGAATAATTAAGTAGGAGCAGTAGTGGTGGGCATCTCAAGAGTAACAGTAGAAAAAGTTTCACACACCATTAAGATCGATTGATCCAAAGCAAGGAAAAGAGAATTGATGAGCTTATTCCTCGCAATGCAAAAGACTATTACAAATTAAAAAACAATGACTTTGATTCTTCGAATATATGATAAAAGAGAAATACACGATGGAATTAAAACCCTGGTTGTGATGGCAGAGATTTCCTAGTGGTTATTACATGTTTTATTTTCCTTAACAATGATCCATCATCACTTGTGGCCAGTTCCTATGCCTTGATCCATTCAATGAATTTGTTCAAACACTTGTTCGACTGACCACCTTCTTTAACAGTTTCTATGGCAGTTTTCTTGAGTGCTAAAGCTCTTTCTTTAAATTTTTCATCACCAACCACTTGATCTATCTTACTTTTAATTTCTTCTCTTGTAATGATTCCACTTTCGTCTCTTTTAAACCGCAATCCTACCTTCCAAAGATCACAAATGTAGCTCTCATCGATGAACTGGTCAGCAAAGTATGGCCAACATAAGAAAGGAAGCCCATTGCTTAAACCTTCCATGGTTGAATTCCAACCGCAATGGCTAACGAAGCAGGCAATGGAAGGGTGACTTAAAACCTTCTGTTGCGGCGCCCAACCCACCATTTTCCCACGGTTGGCTACCCTTTCTTCAAACCCATCTGGGAAGGCTTCATTGGCACCATCAGTAATGTCTGGCCTAACAACCCACAGGAATGGCTTGTTGGAGAGTTCAAGTCCTAGTGCCAGCTCTTGGAATTGGATCTTGTCTATAACTGTGAAGCTGCCAAATGCAACATAAATGACTGAGTTAGGCTGTTGTTGATCAAGCCATTCCAAGCATGCTGAGTCTTCTTGCCAGAAGTATCCTGTTGAATTTCCTTGTCGGTTGCTCGCCAAAAGAGGTCCTATTGGAAGCATATTTGTTACCAAGTTGAATGCTCCAGGTTCAAAGCCATAGGTTGAGTTGCCAATAAGGGTATCTGCAACTTTCACAGCTTCTGTGGTCTTCGAGAAATAGTCAAAGAGTATCTTTTGGGCTACGCCGCCACCAATGTTTGCCCAAATAAAGTTTGTACTGTTGATTTCAGGCATGTTGGGTGCAAACTGAATCATTTGTTTCTTGAACGGAGTCCCTGGAAACAAATTGTACACAACAAAGACGGTGATTCAGTGACTTTTAACTTGCAAAAAGTTTACAGAGGAAGATGGAATAGGGTAAAAACGAGTTAGAGCGTGTTACCATTACTGTCAATGATTCCATCATCAATCATCTTTGGAATATTGTAAAAGAAAGCCAGAGTAGCCACTGCTGCAGGCCAAAAGGCAGCCTTCTTAATTTTCATCTTCTCTGCAACTTCAAGAGCAAATCCAACCGTCCCATCAGCAATCACACAAACAAGCTTATCTTCTTCCACTCTGTTGATCTCTTCAATGAGCTCCTCCAGCTTCCCCGGCATCACCTTCGGCATTGCTGCACATAGCTTCCCTATATCATTTCTATCCTCCCCGGGTTCCAATCCATCTGGAATCGACACCAGACGGATTCCATCCCCTATAGAATTTTCCGGTAATGCGTTGATGACCCGGTTGTGAGTATGATCTGTGTTGACAAATGTGACTCTGAAGCCATGCTTAACTAAGCATAATGAAAGCTCCAGTAAAGGAATTACATGGCCTTGTGCAGGAAAAGGAATAACTAGAATATGTGGAGGACTCATTTTAGTTTTCAGTTTCCTATATGTTCCTATGAACATAATTTGCTTTGTTTTATAATGATCAGCGTGACTTCCCCGGAGATCTCGGTGATATAAAAAATGGTTTATTAAGTCAAGTCTCTTTCTTTAGGCAATTTATTTTTAAATGGAGACAAGCCAAAATTTGCTCATTTTCAAAAGTGATGGCTAACAAAAATCTTTTTACTAATGTGCAGCATTGCCTTATTAAGGCCTACATTTCCCATCAAACATTAGACCCCATGTGCTGGAGATTTTTCTGGTCCTATTAACCGCCCAATATTAAATAAACTAAGGACCACTTCATTAAATACTTTTTAGATCTGTCAGATGTTTACATCATTGCTTATTACACTTGATAAACATTATCTTCTTCTAAACTAATCATTTGAAGCTATACCCAAAAGTTATAATGGACCGTAAACTATCACGTGGTGGTTCACTTGATAAACATTATCGTCTTCTAAACTAGTTGTAAAGAATTAATATTCTGTTATGTGTATATTTTAAGTGCATTTCCTGTTAATATCATGTTATTATAATAAATTAATGGATAATTATCATGTTACACATATAACATCTCTATTTTTCATGAAATTCTTGCTTAATAGAAAAACACTGCATATGAAAAATTTCAGTCATATAAGATTAAATAATCTGGAACTGAGAAAAGGAGTAGGGTGAAGAAATTGCACAAGAACCACCAGTCTATCAAATTACAAGAAGTTATTCCTCCATAAGTTCTTAGGAAAAAAAAATCACAAAGATTGATCTAGTTATTTTGCTACCATCACCTCCGGAATGGATTATGCAAGGATTTTGAGGATCCCTCAAAGAGATCTAACAAGTAATTCTGTAGATCATCAGCACTGTATTTAATGTGTTTGTCACTTATCCGATTCTTATGTCTACTCTCAAAAGTGCGGTAAGCTTGGATCACACTTTGAGATGTTGAAATTCGTAAATCTTCTCGAAGCTGAGCGTTTGGGATGAGCCATGTTGTTTGGGTTTTGTAGACCTCTTCAAATGCAAGATAGAAGTTCCTGAACCGCTCCTTGAGTTGGGTTGTCGAAACACCTCCTGAACTAGAATTCCCCTCCTCCTTCAATAAAGCGAGGATTGAGCTCCAAGTAGCTCTTTCATAGCCCATTGCATGCTGTTGAAATTTCCAGTTGTGCTTTCGAATCCAGCTATCACCAAAAATGGGCCTAAGTTCTGAATTCTTAACCTTTTGAGCCATGTAATGTATATTATTCATCAAAAAGAAGTGCTGCAATGAAATATCCTTGTACATCCTTGATTTATCATGAAGTTTGGATTCTAGAATTGAGGCAACTAATCGGTATCGGAGAGCCATTGGTGAAGAATTGCATGACGAACCTTCACTTGTGTCCTCCTCTTCCATATCTGTACTCATGTTAGATGATTGCGAACTACAATCCTCTTTAATATTGTTCTTCAAAAGCAAATTCAGGGTCTTACTGTAGTCAGATTCCTGATGTAATTCATCACATATTTGGTCAGACGGTGAATTCCTCCCCCTGCCAATGGGCTAGTTGATTTGCATGAAGAAATGGCATTCTCAAATTCCAGAAATGTTGATCTCACCGAATCACCCAATCTCCTCAAAACCTCATGATACTCGATTCTAACAGAAGAACCAACTTCATCAAAGTACATTCCATGTATATCTGGAAGAAGATCTGCTAGTACCTCATACATGTCAAGAAGGNTCTCACCACATTATATTTTTCATTTAATCCCATCAAGAATTGATGAACCTTTTCTTTTTCTTTCTCAACAGCAATTGCTTTGGCCGAACCGCAAGTGCAAGGCGGAATTTGAGAATAAGCGTTGTACTCATCCCAAAGTCCCTTAAGCTTTGTGTAATATGCAGCAATTGACATATCCTTCTGCTGCGTATTCACTATCTCAGTTCTTAGTTGATGCACTCTTGGTGCATTTCCTTGTGACAAACGTTCTTCAAGATTGACCCATATCTCCCTAGCTGTATCAAAAAAAACAACACTGTCATGAAGAGATGAGTCAAGAGAATTAAATATCCATGAGATAATCATGGAGTTGTTTTTGATCCATATTGCAAGATCTGCTGAATCTGGTTCTGGTCGTAGCAAAGTTCCATCAACAAAGCCAAACTTGTTCTTGGCAAGTAATGCATTGGACATGGCTCTTCGCCATGTTGGATAGTTATTTTCTTTGAGAAGACATGAAACTAGCACGATTCCCGGATTGTCAGATGGGTGTAAGACATATGGGGATGATAAATCATTCATGGTTTGTTTGGTGTTTGCGGTGATTGATTGGGTTTTTGCAGAAGAATGTTGGCTAGAATCATCAGACATGATGAGGAGAAGCATGCCCTAGATGGCCTGCTCTGATACTATATCAATTTTGTGTTAATTAGTTTATTTTATTAATCAACCAAAATTGGTTTATATAATACAGCAGTCCCTGACTATAAGGGAAATTACATGGAATAATCCCATTGACTTCGGGATTACAGAACAAGAAATTAAATCAACAAAATAAGAGGAAACAAAATCAAGATATACTAAGAAAGCAAATACAAAGAGATATGGAAAGTCAATATCTTCCTTTAAGTTTCTGTGAAACTTCTCTCCTTCCTCTGTTCTTAGTCTTTGTCTATTGATTATGGCCTTTTGATTCACTTGGGGTTGGGGAGGCCTCGTGGCTTTGACCATTTTCCTCTACGCGCATAAATACAAAGAAAATCACCATTTACCGTGATAACTTCTTGATTTCTACATGGGTGTTGACTGAGATTTTGATTAAAAAATTCAGACTTTAATTATATAAAAGGTGGGGGACAAATTGAGTCAAAACAAATTCATTCCGTGTTTTCCATTACCAAATTGTTTGAATAAAGTGATGAGATCATTTCAATGGTTTCCACTATAATTATTTCATTCAAAGAAATGGATTCATTCCAATTTTCTTAATTTCCTATTACATAAATCAAACTCTTTCTTTCCCTCTCTTTCTCTCTCTCTACTAACTTAACTTAATTTAATTTCTTTGTTCATAACAATAACATCAATTCAATACCAAAGACTTAGAATGAATTTTTTTTTTTCATTTTTCTTTGTTGTCCTTCTTCACCAAGACTTTGGAAGAGGTTCACCTCTCAAAAATGATTTGAATAGCTACAAAGCAGCCCTTGGCTTGAAGAGTGGCACCTCATGACCTGCCTCTCTCACCGTTGCAAATGTTAGCCCTTCATAAACTTCTGTCCATTCTCCCACCTTATCACCGAAAAAATAAAGAAAAAAGAAAAACGACCCCTTAACATACATTATAAACATATTTTTGTTATGTATATATATTATCAAATTTGTCTTTAAAGTACACGTTAAGATTTTTAGGTGAATTTTACTTTTTGTCAAATAATGGAGACCCTTATATTGAGAATTACAAAAGTCATAGGGGCGTGCATGGTTTGACCCTTGAGTTCAAACAATTTATATTCAATTTCTTGAAATATTCTGTAAAGGCCTAGAACTCAGGTAACCTGCCATATATGTTATGAGATATTATTATGACCAAATTAATTAATCAAAGAGATGAAGGCATAATTAGCTACTGACCTGCTTCTTAACATACCAAGGATACCCTGGAATTTTGGTTGTTAATTTCAGTTGTGCCAGAGAATACCTTGTTGCAGTAACTGGCACCACTGAGTCCACATCTCCACTGCAATTTTCAAAGAGAAAATGGTTAATTATAACTATATATATGGAGAACTAAAATGAAATTTTATAGTAAATACATAATTCCCAACCTGAAAACCCAAACTCTCAATCCACCAGCTATCATTTGTCTATAAATGGGAAGAACTGATACATCTGTGTCTTCAAATAACACGAAATTTATTTAAAAAGTGTTAAATAAATAAGGACCCCTTCTTGATTTAAGCTCTCTGTCAATTTTTAAAGATTGTATTTACGATCACCTGCAAGCAGTCCACTTATAAGGAATGTTGGTTATGTTAGCATGGAGGGCTTTTTACACATCAGGCCTGTTGTAATAAATCTCGGCATACTTTTCTGTACAAGGATCATAGCCTGATATCTGCCTCAAAATCTGACAAAGCTGTGATTTTATATTTTATTAACACTGAAGGAGGGAGGTGAAAAATGAGGTCAAAGATAGATAAGGTTTATTCATTCAAATTTAAATTTTTGCGAAAGCAAGCTGAACTGTTGGGGAATGAACTGTTCATTTTTCTTTCTTGCAAGCAATTGTTAGAGAATATGAATATTATTAGGGGTGAGCATGAAAATAGGTTCTATGGCAGTTTTCTTGAGTGCTAAAGCTCTTTCTTTAAATTTTTCATCACCAACCACTTGATCTATCTTACTTTTAATTTCTTCTCGTGTAATGATTCCACTTTCGTCTCTTTTAAACCGCAATCCCACCTTCCAAACATCACAAATGTAGCTCTCATCGATGAACTGGTCAGCAAAGTATGGCCAACATATATAAGAAAGGAAGCCCATTGCTTAAACCTTCCATGGTTGAATTCCAACAGCAATGGCTAACGAAGCAGGCAATGGAAGGGTGACTCAAAACCCTCTGTTGCGGCGCCCAACCCACCATTTTCCCACGATTGGCTACCCTTTCTTCAAACCCAACTGGGAAGGCTTCATTGGCACCATCAGTTATGTCTGGCCTAACAACCCACAGGAATGGCTTGTTGGAGAGTTCAAGTCCTAGTGCCAACTCTTGGAATTGGATCTTGTCTATAACTGTGAAGCTGCCAAATGCAACATAAATGACTGAGTAAGGCAATTGTTGATCAAGCCATTCCAAGCACGCTGAGTCTTCTTGCCAGAAGTATCCTGTTGAATTTCCTTGTCGGTTGCTTGCCAAAAGAGGTCCTATTGGAAGCATATTTGGAGCCAAGTTGAATGCTTCAGGTTCACAGCCATAGGTTGAGTTGCCAATAAGGGTGTCTGCAACTTTCACAGCTTCTGTGGTCTTCCATAAATAGTCAAAGAGTATCTTTTGGGCTACGCCGCCACCAATGTTTGCCCAAATAAAGTTTATACTATTGATTTCAGGCATGTTGGGTGCAAACTGAATCATTTGTTTCTTGAGCGAAGTCCCTAGAAACAAATTGTACACAAAAGAGAATGATTCAGTGACTTTTAACTTGCAAAAAGTTTACAGAGGAAGATGGAACAGGGTAGAAACGAGTTAGAGCGTGTTACCATTACTGTCAATTATTCCATCATCAATCATCTTTGGAATATTGTAAAAGAAAGCCAGAGTAGCGATTGATGCAGGCTATTGATGCGTGATTTTGACACCAACTAATCGATACGTGCGTAACGTTGATTGGTCAAGAGACGCACGTGATTATGGATAATATGTAGAGTAAATGTAACAATGAGAGCTTTTTAAAGTGGTTCAGATGTTAAGGTAGCAAGTCCTACGTCCACTGATTGTTGTATTAAGATCGTGGGTCAGGTCGCAACAGCGGACTGACTTACAAAATGATTAAGGAAAAGTCAATACAAAGATACAAGAGAGAGAGAGAGAGAGAGAGAGAGAGAGAGAGAGAGAGAGAGAGAGAGAGAGAGAGAGAAAGCTAGTTTGGAGTGTAAAAAGGCCGAATCCCCTCAATGAAGGGGTCTTTCTTTTTTATAGCGAGATGAGTGCAAATAATCATCATTAAATCCGTGACTTGGTATGAATGTCAGGACTAAATCCGGCTTTACGTCACATTGGCCAACTTCCAAGCTGATTTCATGCGATTTGGAGCAGGGAGTGGACACGTGGGAGCTCCACGGCGTCTGGCAGGCCTAACGTGCGCTTACCATTCTGACGGGAGCAAGTCACATCCCGTCACGTGATTTCCCATGTCAGCCTTTGATTTCCCAGGCATAACAGAAGTCCCCTAGTTTTTAAGGTTTGAGGATCAAACCTTGGAAACTAAGTCATGCCGCGATTGGAGGTTCTGACCATTCTGACCTGAATGAAAGGAGCTCAGAATAGGACCTTTTGTGAACATGACCTTGCGCAAACCTCGTCCGAATGACCTGACATCCATCGCCCAAGCGTCCTGGCTTCATCGGGCGTTCCTTATCGTGCCTTAAAGATGGAGATTTAATGAGGTCGTTTCTGCGTTGACAGGCGCATTGTGTGTGTCAGGCATCTGCCAAGTGCATTAAATGCGTTGTGTGCTGACGCGTTAATGCTTTGGCAGAGCATTAATTGCATGACACGCCTAAAACGACAACCCTCATCTCAACAATAAATGCGGCTTGGGGCGCATTTAATGCGGAGAGAGAGAAAGGCATCGTTTTGATTCTGAGGGGTGGTAAACGACAGTTCGTAGTCCATATAAAAACCCAGATTTTTCAGATGAGTCCACCAGAACCCCATTTGCCTCGGGTGAAAACTCTCTACAAACCGGAAGCCTTTCTTTTCCGATTGACGTCCCTCCGATACCTGAAGCAAGAACCGTTCACGATTACATCCCCCAAAAGGTAAGGATTTTGGTTCTTTTCTCCTTTTTTTTTTTTTTTTTTTTTTTTTTTTGCGATGCAATGGCGTTGGGTCATCTGATGTTTCGTCAGAGAAGCGACGCTGGAGTTGGATTCTTGCCGTGAATGGCGGCTTGAGCTACAGTTAGGTTTTAGGGAATTTGCTCCAAGCCGCCGTACGGGGCGACGTACGATGGCTAAAATGACCTTCTGTCTGTCGGTGTTGCAGACTGCAGAATGGAACCCTCAGCGTCCAGATCTGAAGAAGGAGCCGGTTCGTCTTCGCGGGATGTTCTCGTGGATGAATCCCTTGAGGTCTTCTCGGTTCTCACCCGAGAAGAGCTCGAGAGGATAAAGAAACAATTTGACGTCCACACAGAGGTGTTCCTCGATGACACCCGGTCATCGCGGCATCCTTCTGATGGCCTGGCTGCGATCTCCGAAGAGATCTTCAAGGGTGGGGGACGATTCCTTTCCACCCTTTTATTAGGTCGGTCCTGGATCACTTCGGAATTGCACCAATGCAATTAACGTCAAATGCATATGTCATCATTGTTGCGATGTACATCACGTGCCGTGAGAGCAGCTTGGGCGAGCTAACAGCGGTGGAGCTCAACTGTTCGTATTACCTCAAAAGGAGTAAGGACAAAGACTCCTATTACTTGTCTCGGCGATCTACCATAGCCGAAGGGATACATAGCTATCCCAGCAATGCGGGGGCCTACGAGACGAAATTCTTCTTCTTCTGCTACGACAGCTACTGC